ATAGTACATTATAATATATTATAGTATCGTATAGTATACTATAGTAGATTATAGTACATTATAGTACACTATAGTACATTATAATGTGCTGTAGTATATTATACTATATCATAACATAATATAGTATATTATAGTCTGTTATGGTATACTATCGATGCATCTTCGGAGCCCTCGCGACGCTGAGCCGCTGCTGTTCACCGATGCTCAGCTGCTCGTCCCAGCGATCCTTTGGCACTGCAAGGCTGAGGAAAAACAGCAAAAATCTTCTAGGCTTGAGGGTCATGGTTAAGGGCGAGAGGTTTCAGCTTAAGGGTTAGAAAAGAGGCGTTCAGGTTTGGGATTCACTTGTTGTAAGGACTTGTTTAATTCTTCCTACCTGCAGGTAGTTCTGAGAGCTTGGGGGAGTGGTTGAAAGGAGATGATCTGGATTCTGTGAGGGTCCCCAAACCAATACACATTCAAGAGGGTGCTCTTACAACATCCGAGGGGCCTCCATTTTTTGGGAAACACCCATATCATCCAACAAGAAACCGGCCAAGCTCTGCCAGCACAACCCTAAACCCTCAGCCCTAATTAGAATAATGCTTGCACTAAGGACTCTGTAATGCTTGTAGCCCTACACCCCCAACCACCACCTGGTCCACAAATTGGGGCATCCGAATAAAGACCCCAATATACTACAATCCTTATTAAAATGACACCGAACCAGGCGCCCCAATTTTTGGAAACCCCAGCTCCTATCAATCAACCCCTACATAACCCAAGTTTCCATGTTATTCTCCAATTTCTTTTCCATTTGACTCTTTGCTACGGGGGTCATATCCCTGACGCTTGCAACCCCAAACCCTACACCCTCAGACGATGTCTGGGTTGTTCCCATAGATTATATTGCGGCAACTAATATTTAGGGGTACCAAAACGGGACCCTAATTTTGGGAACTACCCATCTTTCTCGAAGGCTCCGTCCAGTCGAGGTTTCCGCCCGTGCGTTTCAGTACGCTCTGTAGGCCCACGCGCACCAGGATGCTGAGCAGGGCCAGCTTTAAAGGTTTAGGGTTGGGTTCAGGGTTTAGGGATTAGGGTTTAAGGTTCATGGCTTTACCCTTTTTGCCCTAAACCTTAAACCTTAAAGTTTGGGGTTTAGGGTTCAGGGTTTAGAAGCGGCTTTGGCCACTTCAAGACAACTTGGGAGTTTTGACCGGTTGTGACCTACTCTTTACTTCGCTTTTGCCTCATACAGGATACAACTTGTGTTTCATCAGGGCTTGCTGGTTTAGGAAGTTAAGACTTTTGTTTCCCTGGGTTTGGGGGTTCGTGCTTTTGTTCTTTGCGTGTTTAGATTTAGTTTTCATTTGTGTCGGGCTCAGAGCAAGGGTTGTAGTAGTGCTTGGTGGGGTGGGCGTATGACTACTCAATAGGAGTTCCTCTGCTTTCTAGACTTAGTTGGGGCTTAGGGTTTGGGCACGGCTGGCAAGATTTTTGAGTTCTGGTACTACAGCGTATTAAGGTCATGCAGGGTTTTTTGTATCAACAGCACCTTCACAGACATAGCCAAAGTCTAACTAACGCGTGAGTTGTGAGGAGAAAGCCCTAAACCCTGGGAATTGAGTGCCCTGAACCCTAAACCCTAAGCCCTAAAGCCTGGGAATTGAATGAAGCCTAATTACTTGAGCCACTGGTCACTGGCTAGCTCCGATCCCTTTTCACTTCCAAATCTTCCAGGCTTGGAAGCTCAAATCTGCTCACCACTTTCCAAAATGGGTTGTTCTCGAAATTATGGGCCGCTTTGGTTACAAACTCTATTACGGCACCTCATGCTTAGGGTACCAGAATGGGACCCGAATTTGGGATATTTTGGGAACTCCCCAAATGAGGACGAGGCCTCCGAACCGAAGCCTGAGCCACACCCCCAAACCCGAACCCAAAGAATACTTCTCGGAAGTCCTTCGGGGGTTTAGAGTTTAGGGTTCTTCTTGTTGGGGGCGGCAATAATCAGGAATCTACTCTTCCGCGGTGGTCCTCCAGGAAGGCCCTCATTAATAAAGAATCTCCTAAACTTCCAAGTCCCCTAAGCCCTAGAGCCCAAGGCCTACTGCCAAAATACCTCCCTAAACTTTTGCTCCCACTAGCACGCAACGTTAGCCCCCAAACCCGATCCGTTGCGTGGCAGCCCAGATGCTCGCGAAGGGCGTCATCTTCAATGCTGACCTCCAAAGTACTGGCGCTTCACGGGGAGCGGGGCAGTAGGAGCGTGAGGAACTATAAGCCACCTAGATTTTTTAAGCGCTCCACCTAGGGTTTAGGGTTTAGGGTTCTTCTGGGTCCTTGTCTTTCATAAGTTAGGTTGTTAACAAGATACACACACTTTATTGAAGGGTCAGGGTTTAGGGCAACCTCCAACTTCTACAAGCTAAACAAATCCACCCTAAACCCTGAGTCCTAAGCCTTTGCCGCAGTCAGGGGATGATCCGACGCTTCCCAGACGAGGGACCCCTTCTCTACTGCCACATACTCAGATTCACGTGATCTACACTCACCTTGACACCCTCAACCCTGCAACAAGACTGAGGAGGCAAAGTCCCAAAACCCTGGGCCAGCAAGCCCAAGTCCCTACACCCTACCTCAGGCGCGAAACACCTCCAGTCTCAAGACCCCATGGTAGCACGGTAGAAGTCCTTAAACGAGCTTTCGTCTAAATTCCTAGTGTCCCCCTTGATGACCTCGATAGTACTCCCCCAATATAACCCCTTTACGGAGTTTAGACTCGAGCTCATATGAGACCCGTCTCCAGGATCTAATCCCAAAGGCACCTGTTGGTTGGGATACAGCAGCTGGTCCCTCAGGGTGCCCAGGCTCATGTAGGGCCGCTGTGGTAGGAAAAGGCACTCCTTGCTTGGGGTGTTTCAATTGAGCGGTTTAGGCTTTGGGGTTAAAGCATTTTAGGGGTGTAGTCTAGCCATTTAGTAGCTTCCCAAGATCGGGAGATCCCAAAATACTATAGTCCTTATTACAGTACCCGGAATTTTGGGAATCACTCATTGAAGGGATTGTGGTTTAGGGTCGCGGGCTTAGGGGCGCTCATGTTCGGCCTCAATTTTTCAGGGACACCTGTCAGGTCCACCTTACAAGACTTTAGAAGCTCAGGCACGAGTTGGGAGTTAGACATGTACCCCTTTTAAATGAACCCCCCAAAAAAATTAGAACCGGCCTTATTAAGCCCCATATAATCCTTATTAGCTCCTTAGACCCTGGGGGTGTATGTTTGGGGGGGTTGTATTGTAACTCCTAATTTAGGGTTAAGGGTGCTGTGGACGGGGCCCAAGACCATGAACCTTTGACTCGCGACGAGCCTACGCTGAATGAAGGTTGTAAAAAGCATGGCTATAACACCCATCGCGCCCCTCCATTTATCAACCCGCCTTCAGCCCTACACCCTAAGCCCGAAGCTCTGAAGCAGTGAGCAAGGAATACTACCTAAGCCCAAACTGCAAGACTCTTTCCCTCAATAGGGCTTAATAAGGCGTACTACAGGGGCCTAAGTAATTACCAATATTATTTCTAGGTCCATTTGAGGTACCGTATACTGTAATTATACAAGGAATAATGAACCATAATATTGGTGATTGTTTAGGCCCGTATATTATAGGCCTCTAGATCTGGGGTGGGTTGCTTTTGTGGCGGAGAGGACTGTAACCCCTAACTAAGCCTGGCTTGGAGTCTCTGAAGCTCAGCCAACTTGTCTGCTGAGAGCCCCAAACTGCGGGGCTTCTCTGGCCTGCTCTTTAACCAGGAGCTGCAAAGTACGCCTGGACGCTGCTAAGGCTTCATCAGGACACTAAACACCTACGTAACCCTCAAAACCCGACACCCTAAGCACCCCATACCCCGGACCTTAGAAAACCTTAACCCCAAACCCCTGAAACTTCTGAGAAACCCTAAAACCCTAAAACCCCCTAAACCCTGACATTTAGTTAAACTCAGCAGAGGAGCCCGGTGGTCTGCCAAACGAATGGATCCGCGTCCCCAGTGCCACAGGCCGGCAAGTGCACGGAGCCTCCGGTTCGGGGCTTCGGGTTCAGGCTTTAGGGTTTAAGGTTCAGGGCTCAGGGTTTAAGTTTACGCTTAGGGTTCAGGGTGGAGGGTTCAGAGTTGGGGCTTGGGTCTCAAGGTCTAGGGTTCGGGGTTTAGGGTTTGGGTTTTTTAGGGTCAAAGGCCATATTGGGCTTCTAGAAGTTTAGGGGATGCGTACACGCATATATGATGCGAAAGAGCATGAGGCTGCGAATGTTGGGGTGTGTGCATATACATGTTCCTCAATGTCAAATCCCGGCTTGCTTTCTCTAGTTTCCTATAATTAGGTTCAGAGCTGCTTGCAAGGGTTCCATGTTGAGTTGGGGAAGGTATAAATCACTGTCCTTCCCCAGACAGTAAAAGCAAGGCTTAAGCTAGGTGAACTACAAGTCTTCTAGGAATTGAAGGATGGGAGCCTAAACAGAAGTCTGCACCCCAGCCTCTACCCTCAACTCTCAACAGCGCCCACGCCAAGACCCCGTGTTCCGTATCCTCAAATGCGCTACTAAAACCCCAACAGGCCAACCACTCAGACGCTGTCATTATAGTAAAATCCCCCCATCAAGTTCTTGCACGACTCTACACCTTTTGATTCCACCATACACCATCCCGTAAATCCCAGCCCTAGGAACCCTATGAGCTATAGTCTACACTCCTAGTATCCCCCTTAACATCACCTATAGCAGTTCCCTATATAAATAATCCCCCTTTAAGGAGTTTAGACTATGGCTCCTCCCCACCCTGAACCCTACAACCCTAAACCCTAAACCCTGAACCCTAAACCCTAAACCCTAAACTCTAAACCCTAAACCCTGAACCCTACAACTCTTCCTGCCAGCCAGGCCACAAAGTCGTCTTGCCACTTCCGCTCGCGCCAGAGATAAGGAGGCCGCCTGAAGCTCGTAGGACCCGTGGGCTTTGAGCTTTAGGGTTTAGGGTTTAGGGTTTAGGTTTTAGGGTTTAGGGTTTTAACCCTAAACCCTTAACCCAGGGATAAAGTTCAAGGCCTTCGTTTCTGACTTCTGGGCTTAGAGAGGGCCCTGGGTTTGCGGCCTTAAACAAACATGGAACCTGAGCATGGAACCTGAAAAGTTGCCCTCTCGAGGCGCCTGGCTTGTCAAAAGCGGGCCTTGCTACCAGCTGCTAGTAGGAAATGGAGGAATGGCTTCTTATACATGCCCAGCCAACCAGCCGCAAACACCGGCATCGAATCGGATCGACGATCGAATCGANNCTTGCCCGTTACCGTAGCCCTCCCATCTCCCACCTCCCACCCCACGCCGTAGATCGCTGGAAATGGAATCGATAGATCGATGTCGATCGAATCGATTCGGTCATGGCATGTTATAGCAGTACTCATATTAAAAGCTCACAGTGTCCATTTTCTGAAACTTCCAACAAGAGTCACGTAGGCCAATATTCTACACTTCTGGGGTTCGGGTAGACCTTAATGGGGCACCAGGGATACCGCGTTTACAAGGTGGTATAGAGGTCTCCCTTGAGTATCATGTAAGAACTTCAAGTTTGCCATTTTGACCCCGACGTTGACGTACCACCCTTTTGTGCTGAACCCTTCAGACAATAAACCCTTTTTACCCTGGACTTTTCTCACCCCACACCTTTCAACCCCTAAGCCCCAAACAAGCCAAGCTACCTGACGGCGGTGCCGAGAAATGAAGGTCCTGAACCTTTGTAGGCTGACAAATTGGAGGTTTGGGGTTTTAGGTTTATTGGGGGTTTCGAGCTTAGGGTTTAAGGTTGACACGTTGGCCAATGTTGGCCAATGGACACAATGCCTGTTTGGGGGGGCGAGGGTTTAAGCCGTTTTTGGGGAAGAGGGCTTGGGGATATTACGCCAACAACGGGAATTCAAATGGAACAGAACATGGAAATGACATGCATACTATTTAGGGTTTTTGGTTTAGGGATATGTTTCCCATGCAATTTGCTACTACAAGGGCTTCCAACAATTTAGGTGCCCGTTTGTAGAAGCCCTTATCATAGGATCTTACTGACTGGGGTCCAGTTTTTGACGCCCAGTTTTTGAAGCCGCCCATATTTTGCAACTCCCATAGTGGCGAGCCGAAATGAATAATGACTTGTGGTGCACGCAAGTACTCTACGGTTATGTCCCTCAAGCCTAGACCCTAAACCCGAAGCCCTAAACCCTAAACAAAACCACGCAGCAAGAATCCGATCGGCGAAGCACAGCCTAAGCTTTGGGTTGGGAGAAGCTGCCTGCGAAAGGCTTAGGTGCCAAGGGTATAGGGCTTGGGGCTTGGAACCCTGAATCCTAAACCCTAAATCCTAAACCTTAAACCCTAAATCCTAAACCCTCAACCCTAAATCCTAAACCATAAATCCTAAACCCTATAGAACCCCCTATATAGCACCCCGTTTGGGGTTGAGGGATTTGGCACGCGCATTGCGCCGTAGGCATGGTTCAAGTCCCAGAGCTCGAGGGGAATGGGGATTAAGGGGCTCGGAAGTTGAAGCCATGGCGGTTTCCCAAGATGATCCCTACATACGTTGTATAAGGCTTTGTGTAAGGGGTTTAGGTCTTAAGGGTTTAAAGGTTTAAGGGTTTAGGGTTTAGGGTTTTGAGAACAACCCATGTGAGCCATTGTCTAAACTCCTAGTATCCCCTTAATAACCCCTATGATATACCCCTATAAAATCCCCTATATAACCCCCTTTAAGGAGTTTAGACTATGGCTCATGTAACTTTGTATAAGGCTTTGTATAAGGGATTTAGGTGTAGGGTTTGGGGTTATGATCGCCGTCTTTCTTCCTGGCGGCATTCACAAGCTCTTCGCCTCAACCCCCCGAAAGCAAGCAGTCGAGAAGCGTCAGGCCCTGGACTTCCAACCACGTTTCCACGCCCTCCTTTCTTGCAAAGGCCCCTACCATTTGTGGGTTTAGGGTTTAGGGTTTAGGGCAACAAAGTAGCCATATCGGGATTTGGATTTAACGTCAAGCTCAGGGTGTGAGCTGCGCGTCTCAAGACCAAACGTTCTTTCGTGGGGGTTCCTCAACTTGGGGTTGCCGCTCTGTCCAAAATTATTGGGGTTATATTAGGGCTATATTGGGGTTATGTTGGGGTTAAATTGGGGTTATAAGGGCAAGATTAGCGTTACATTAGGGTGAAATTGGGGTTACATTAGTATGATACTGGGGTTATGTTGGGGCGAAATTGGGGTTATATCGGGATAATGGGACCCTCGTTCACCCCAGAGTGTCAACGGCTTCCTGCCTTACACTCTCTGCCATAGCATGAAGTCAACACTTTCCAAATTCTTGTCCATTCTGCTATATACTTCTAAACAACGCCTTTACATCCCTAGATACCTCGTATATGCCCCTAACCCCAAACCCGAACCCCTAAACCCCCAAACCCAGTACCCCTAAACCTCAAACCCCCAAACCGCATAACGCCCTAAACCCTAAACGGGCAACCTGGCTTTGCAACCCCCGGCCCTGGTTTGTTCCACAGACTGGAACTTAGAAAAACCGGGCATACTGTATAGACCTTCAGTCTAGGTAGGGCTGGGAAAAGCAGTGATTTAAAATAAAATTCTAGGGTGCTAAAAAAGAAAAGCCCAACCATAAACCCCTAAACCCTAAAACCTTAAGAACCTAAACCCTAAACTCCTAAAACCTTGTCAACCTAAGCCCTAAACGCCTAAACCCTAAACCCTAACGCTCCTCTCCTCCCTCCCTGAGACTACCTCCGTCCTTCGTCGGCTGCACGGAAATTTCAGACTCGGCCTCCTTGGCCTCCAGCTGC